AAACCATGCTCCCTTTCTCTCAATTTTCATCAATTTCTTCCTTCCTTTTTATAGAGGAAGGCTACACATAAAGCAATAATATTTTTCTACCTAAATTATAATTATTAACTACCTAAAACATTGACTAAAATGATGAAGTTTGCTGCCATTTCTTGTAGCCCATGTGAAGCTCCATGCTGCTGTCACTTTGCTGCTACTGTGCAGTCATGTTGCAGCATCATTTAGCAGATCTCATTTCACTGCATATTCAGCTTTCATGCCATAGCTCCAACAACTTCCTAATGTTCCTTGCTTAACCCGATAGGATCTTGTCCATAGATTGGCCTAATTTCTAAAATAGTTTCTCGCCTGAAATTAGGCCAAATATGTGTAAAAATAAAATTATAGTTTTTGGAGAAGTTATTCAACTTCTAGAATGCTAAAAAATGCTCAAGATGCACATTTAAATTAAGTTTAATAGAAAAGAGATTAAGGCCAACAAACTAATTAAGTCACCCAGTGCTAATTTTTTTTTTAGTAGAAGTAAAAAGTCCCCAATTTGAGTCATAAAGCATGTGGAGTAAGTTAAAGAATGAAAAAGAATTATTTTTTATTGTGCAACCGAAATTAAAAAAAATAAAAATAAAAACAAAGAAAAGAGGTTTATGACACATTAATATCTGTAATTTGCTCTTTCTTATGTTACCTTTCGTTGATGGGCATTAATATTTGGGCAGATTGTAGCATACTTGATGGTAACATCAGGGGCAGCAGTGACAAAGATACTGTACTTGGCTTACAATGGTGATCAGAAAGTGACATGGAGTGAAGCCTGCAGTTCATATGGGAAATTCTGCTATGAGATGAAAGTGGCCTTGATTCTCCATGCCTTGGTCCTCTGCTGCTTCATTTTCTTGGCTGTGATTTCTGCTTATAGGGTGTTTAGTATGTTTGAGCCTCCTTCTCTTTCTTCTAAGGAAGGGGAGGAAGAAAGGACCTAGAATTACTATCCTATCTTCCTCACAGGCTTTATGCATGCCACTGCATCTTATATATAGAGATTGTGACGGGCTGCAATTCACTTTTCTAATATATTTATACACTCAAATAAAAATATTGTGTGTGATTTTGTTTCTATGATAGATTTTAGAAAATAAAAAATTAAGATATATTATCTTTAAAAATGTCAAAATATTTGATCATAACTTTTAAATATAAAAAATGAGTATTGACTTTATTAACTTTCGTTATGATTTTTTACTCTTAGGTATTGTTTGGATTGGAGGTGTCGGACGGAGAGGGAGTGGAAGGGATGGGGACGGATGGCAAGGGAGGGGGAGCGAGGGGGGGCTGTCTCCTTTCTCTTGTTTGGGTTTCCAAAGAGGCAGAGAGGGAGGGAGATGGACTGATTCGGACTCTCTCCAACCACCCTCAAATCTGTAGATTTGCAATCCGCCCGATTTGGGGGGTTTGGGAGGGATTTGAGTGACTGTTTAGATTAAATTAAATATAATTACAAAATTAACCTTAATTTTTTTATTATATTCTACTCCATTACAAGTTTAAAGGATAAATTTGTAAATTTAAAATTAATTTAAATCTTTCCCTTCCTTCCCTTCCTTTTACTTTAATTATCCAAACATAAAATAATACAATCTTTCCCTTCTCTTCCCCTTCCTCATTTTTATTTATCCAAACAAAATTAACACAAATAATTTTCTTCTATTTTCTTCCTTTCCCTTTCTTTTCCTCCCCCTCCATGTCCTTTTATTTTCCTCCATTCCCCTCCCTTCCCTTCCCTTTACTATTTTCTATCCAAACAAGGGCTTAATGTTTTGGTAGTACAAACAAGGGGAGGGAAATGGGTGAAAGAGTCCATTTTTAAAGTGGCCCAAACTTGTATAAGATAGAACTGTTCAAATCTAATATCGTGGGTTTCCTATGTAGTCCAATGGTGACACCTAGGGCTCATGTACTATGATTGTGAGTTGTGATTGACCTTGGGGCTTAGCGTATTTTCCATTATGGACCCAAAAGAGGCGCGCAGCCAATGGCTTGATGATTCTAATAAGATATTGTTAGTTTACTTTAGTGTGTTATAATTTGATTTTGATTAGGTATTTATTTAATATTTTAAAAAAAATTTAATTAAAATTAATTTTTTATAAATTCAGATTTAAAGTTTGAATGACAAAATTGGAAATTAGTTGGGTAAACAGAAATAAAATGAAATAAATTGGACTTGATTGCAAGGAGTTACGGCTTTGAAATTGTGAATTGCAGGTCCAAATTGATGAAATCAGGAGTCATGGGACCAAAACGTTAAGCTTGAGAAACCAGATGTACTAAAGAAAAAAATGTTGCCAACGATGTTGCTTCTGCGACACAGCCAAGTACGAAATTAAATGGGTTCCTTCGAACCCTCTCTCACAGGCCTCCGCAAGCAGCCGTTTCTCCTATTCGTTCCCAATTTTCTCCTTTGATTTTTCTTAAAAATTTTATTAATTTATGTTTAACAGAAGAACAATTATTTGAGAAAAAAACTTTTAGAACTGAAGTTAAGCAATCAAGAAAATCAGTAGAAAGCTGTAAATCCTAATTCATAAAGAGTTTGAAATTGGTTGAAGATTAAAGTTGGGATGCACAAAGTATGAATCTAGCCTTTAAAGTTAAAGTTAAAGTTATTAATCATTCTTTTTTATTATTTGACATTAAAGATAATTTTTTTTTGATTGAATTTGTGGAGACTTGCTGCCCTGAATCTTGCTTTGAATTTGTTTCTTTTCCTTTCCATTATAAATGAACAAGCATAAGAAAATTAAGGATTGATGTTTAATCATATGATTTGGCCGTCCGAATTTCATTTTAATTGCTTATGATTCAATTTTAAATCTGAAAAATTATTGGGCAACATCTGAACATTACCATCTGATGATGTGGGTTTTGGACTTCGAAATTTTTGCTTTAGTTGGCTAGTTTGAAATGAATGACTGCTTTTTCCCAAGTTGTATTGTTTAACTATTTGTTTAGTTTAAAAATAAAGGTTTTTTCATTTTAGCACTAGGAATCCATTGCTTTGCATCTTAATTATTAAATGTCCTTACATGCTCTTACAATCAAATTATGGCAGTGGGAGTGATTTCGAGTCGTTAAGCTGTGCCGTTTGTTTTTTTGATTAACAATTGAATTACCTCAAATCAAAGTATGTGATAATTAAGGTGATAAAAATTGAGATTTTACCTATAATGGGAAGGGAAAGATGAGATCACAAATTATCAAATCACAAATAAGATCATAAAGAAATAAGATTGTAAGATTTTAGTAAATTGAATTTATGTATTTATATAATTAATAAAAATAAATATAAATTATGTAAATATTTTAAAATAAAAATAAAAATTTATACATTGATGAAATAAAATTAAAATAAAATATTTGCAAATTTAAATACAATCTATTTAATACTTAATAATTCATAACATAATTTAAAAGGTAAATAATAATTATAGATGATAAAAAAAATCAAAATAATAACTCAAAAATCATTTTTCATTTAATTCTTGATTAAAAATAAAAATAAATTAAAAAATTAAAAAAAAATCATATAAAATTAATATATAAACAGTAATTTTATGACTTTACCACTTTATAATTTTATTGAACAATTTTAATAATATTAACTTACAATTAGATAATTATATAATATTTTAAATAAAAAATAATAATTATATTATATAAATAAAATATAAATTTGTGTTTATTTTACATAAGCAACTTGCAGAACCCCGTGATCGCCTCCTTTTTTCCTGGCACAACGATCTCTTCTTCTGATCTTCTTTCACCGCGATTCTCTCCTTCTAATCTCCTTCTCCGATTGTCCCTCTCGATTCCCTCTCGATTCCCTCTCGATTCTTTCTTATTCTGATGCTCTTCAGTTACCCTTTATGATTCTCCCCCAATTGAAACCCTAATTAGTGAGAAGAGTACTGATTTTGAGAGGTAAGCATCGTACTCTCTTTTACCTCTAATTAGCATCTAATTTTTGTTGTAAGTTCTTGTAACACAAAAGAAAATCTGTGTAACAGTGAGTGTGATGAGACTGTTTTAGTTGTTACCACATCAGAATTTTGTAATTTTTATTTTTTTAGTAGGGTTTCTTCTATCTCTAATTTGGGGAGGAAAAAAAATTAATGTCATTGCTTAAAGTATGCTACTTGAATCTTGGAAAGCATTCTCTAGTTGCTCTGTCTTCTTAATAATAAGCAGGATCAGAATGTTGAGTTACAAAATTTAAAAGAACAAAATTTAATTGAGTAAAACCTTCAATGGTTGATAATCCTAGGAGTTCTTAAAGCTGTAGGCCTTGTAAGTTGCTAATCAAAATCAGTAGTGCTCTTATTAGGTCAATTATTCTATTAATTAAATTTATATAATTATATATTTAAATGACCACTATACTGTTCAATAGCGGCTGCTTCGCTATCTGTTACACTAACACTATCAGAGTGGATTTTTGCTTTCCTGCTATTGGCTGCTATCCGCTATTGATAACCCTGTTTTGCCAATATGTGGTAATCGTATTTTATAACACCTTAGGTGATCTATCCCACTTCATTGGGCTTTCATGGATAGGATCGGATTTTGACTTAGTTGTACAATTTAAACTGCAAACCAATTGAACCTAAAGCAACTTCATCCTAACTTTTCGTGGAATGGATAGACTCAAGGAGCTCCCCTAATTCTAATTCTAATTGCAATTCTAATTCCAATTCTAGTTCTAATTCTAACTAATTTTTTCAAAGAAAACAACACGAAGCCAAGGTTGGTAGGTGGCCTCCTCTTCGCCAACGCTAATTCATAGTCAATCTTCATGTTGAATTCTATAATTAAGGTATTTCATCTACTTCTTTCTTATTAATTATTCAGATATTTTATTCTTTAGACACAATGAGTTTGTTTGTTTGTTTGTTTAGCTATTGCAATGGTTTGAATCTTCAATCCAAGGTTAATCAATTACTTAAGATCGTGACTAAATACTCATTAATTTATAAGATCAATATACATGCATCTTTATTTTTTTATATCTGAACTTTGGATATTGTGCCTACAAACAGGAGCATGCAATCAATTGATGAGAATATGATAGAATCTGCTGCAGGTTGGGGAGATTTGGAAGGTAGCCTTTTACTAAAAATATTTAAACAGCTACCTCGAGAAGATTTGATATCATCAACCTGGTTCGTTTGTAGGTGGTGGAGGTCATTTTCTTCAGCAATTTTGTTCTGGAAGGAAGAATCCACACTTGAGCTAAGAACTGATGTAAAACGTTTAAGCAGATCCAGAAAGACGGATCCTTCCCAAAGATTGAAAGAAGCACTTAAATGTGTCATGGATTGCTTTCCCAGGGGCAGCAGTAGTCACAATTGTGCTGCTGTTAGGACCATACTGTTTCCACGCCCTATGGTTTTACTTGACATGCATATAAATCTGGTTGCCAAGAGGTAATAATATATATTTCATTCTTTTATACATTTGATATTTATGCATCTAGAATTGAAATTAATTTGGCTTTTAATTTGGTGTGTATGGGATTATATATTTGCCTAGGTCCCTAAAGCTTAGGAAGCTTATACTTCCAAAAGCATATACCGTGACTAGGGGTGGGCAAAACCGGTTTCGGTCTAAAATCGAAACCGATTTTGAATTAACCAAAAAAATTTGGTTTTAATTTTGTGAACCGAAATCGAACCAAAATTGTTATAAGCTAATTGGTTCGGTTACTGATTTTATCAATGAAATCGGTTTGGTTTCGGTTTTTATTAAATAAATATTAATTAATTATTTTTTTAATAATAAATTATATTTTATCACATATTGTATCATATTTTGT